TCCAAGCAGAGCAGGGGCCCGGATTCAAAAACCAGAGAAATAGGAGAAGAAATCGTTTTTGGAAACTACACTGCTGACCTTGGGCTGAGCTCAGGGAGGGAGGTGCAGCAGGCGGAGTCTGGGGGCCAGGCGAGGGTGCACAGGCTAACAGACCTCTGTCTTGGCGCAGCCATTAGGCTCAGGCCCCTGTCTGTGGATCCAGGTCCTCTACTTCATCACAGGGTGGTAGTGGTTGCCAGCTAAGTCCCTAGGGGAGCAGCTCATAGGGGTGGGCGTGCTGAAAGAGATGTGCTGAGGAGTTAGGGACCACAGGTTCTCTGTGACTCTGTTTTCTGTTTTGATTTTACTCACACATATTTGTAAGTTATAAAAAGAACTCGGAAAAGGGGTGGTATTTGGGAAAAACAGCCCCATCCCCCATGGGTGCCTGGCCTGGACGACCCAGAGCGTCAGCTCACCGGCATTCAGGATCGAGCGCATTATGGCCAGCAGAGGCCCAGGCCCCCCTCCCAGGAAGGTTACTTCTAGGCTCCAGGCTCTCTAGGAACCAGACCTCTGGGCCCCGCAGCAGGGCCAGGTGCCTCCTTAAGTGCTGTGATCTCATCTTTGTGGCACTTCGGTCAGTGTACAGCCTTGGGCAAGTCACACCCCCTCCCTGAGACTCAGAAAATGGAACAGAAAGGTATGTCTTCTGTGTGCTCCTCTGTGATCTGGAAATGCTACAGCCTTCACCTCAAAGGTAGATAGCATCCAGGTATGGGGACAGGGGCTTCTGTCAGCATCCCCTTGATTTTGTAGACCCCCTGGCTCTTAGCAAAGAGATGCCCCAGGAAGGGCGGCAGTACCTTGGTGGTCCCGTCTTGGACATTCACACCAGAGCCTGGGCACATTCTTACCTCTCCTTGACCAGAGACCTGTGGCTGCAGAACCAGAAACTCATTTCCAGATATAGCAGAATGTCTCTCTTTCCTCAGGGCTCAGAGGAATTTATTAAGCGTTGCATTAACTGAATCTTACTCTGCTGGAAAAATAATACTCAGAAAGCAATTCTGTCTGGTTACTGCCTGTAAGCTCCTGAAGGGCTCTCGTAAGAAAGGCTCAAAAAGCTCCCGTGCTGTGGGATCCAGAGCCCAGCCCTGCAGCTTCCTTCCAAAGACCAGGCAGCTCAGTGGTTGGCCAGCAAGCCCATCATCATTCAGCATCATTGGGTTATCCATCTGTCTGTCTATCCCTGAGGCAAGTGCTTATGAGGGCCTGGGGCAAGGGGCGTACCGGGAGTACTAAGACTGAGTCAGACACAGCATGTGCCATCCACAGCAGTTCAGGCTCAACCTGACCACTTTCTCTATTTGGTAAAACTCCAGAGAGTTCTTGACTTTATTATTCACAGTTCAAAAGCAGCGTGAGCTTTTGTGTCGGCTCCCCTTCACCCCCAAGTGTCATGGCATGCAGGCAGAGGGCCCATACAGATGCCTGCACATGCAGTGGTTGTGATACTGGACAGGAACACTGAGCTTGGGAGATCCACCATTTGGTAACAGACAGCAAGCGTGTCAGCTTTTTGTCCCAGAGGGAGACACTATCTATCGCATGTCTCAGTATTGGTTGCTACAAACGCAACCCAGGTGCGGGACAGTCAGAGCCTTGCATTCTTTGTCTACCCAGCAAGATGTGCAGGCATGCAGGAAACTCATGGAGGAGCATTTCCAAACAATGCATTAGCCTTGCAAAAATCTGGATTTGAATCCTGTGTCTAATAACTAAGTGCAAAATTGGGTAAATTGCAATTGCTGAACTTCTCTTAGCCTCAGTTTTCTCTTCTATAAAATGGGGATAATGCCTACTTACCAGGCGATTGTGAAAGACAGTGTAGGATCGTTCTGGGAACACAGTAGGGAACTAAGAAAGCCCTTGAGTTCAAGAAACTTAGTTGCATAGGGAATCTTCCCAGCTATATGTAAGTATGCAATGTCAGCTAATCATGCATGTGGAAAATGTTGGAAACAGATGCTCGGTGCCACAAAGAAAAATCAGCACTAAGACAAAGGATCTCTCAGCAAGGCAATCTTTACTTTCCACAGAAAGGGTGCTCTTGTTAGCCATCTTGCCACGAGAGTACAACGAACAAAGGAAAAGTAGACATATTTATCTTCTACGCATTTGGGGTCATTCTTACTGCGGTGTCTGATCTCTGTGGGCTGGAGGCAGACTTGACAATCTAAAACTAAAACTTGATTGGCTAACAACTTAAAACTTTCCTAAACAGGTAAAAGCAATGGAGAAGAAAAAGAAAGTTTAAGTAAGCAAGGGGCATAGGCTGTTAGCTGGGATATGACTGTGAGCACGTCCAGCACAGATATCTTGGTTAAAGTACAGGGAAATAGAGAATACTACATGCTTGTGAGCCTGTGGAACAGCTACATAGGACAGCGATTAACAAAGAATCACTGGTGAAAAGCAAGAAGGCTTTGAAGAAAGTCTTTACAAGAGACCATTATTTCTAACATTTGTTATTATTATTCTTTAACAAGAAAATAAGCTTTGAAGAAGAACTTTTCTACTCCCCACAGAAAAGAATAGTTAAAATGCAGAGGTCATACACATCAGGGCTCAGGGACAATTTCTGTAAGGCATTGCCATGTGACCCCGCATCCTGAATTATAGTAGCGAGGAATGACCTTACTACCTGTGGGAAGAGCATTCCTGGCAGCTCAGATAGCCCGTGTGTAGGTTCTGTGCTTGGCCTGCTTGAGGGATAGCGTGGAGACTGACATAACTCCACGGAGTGAACAAGGAAAAGACATGGAAAATGGAATCAGAGGGTAGACAGGGACCAGTTCCTGTAGGATCTTGCAGACCTTGATGAGAGCCTTGGATTACATTGTGGGTGTGGCGGGAACCCACTGGAGGCTTCAGGTAGGTGGGGGCGTGAGCAGAATACAGCATGCAGGAGGGCGGGAGAGGGTGCAAGCTCTGGGATTTGCTTTTATCCTGCTGCTGCTAACAGATTAGCCTGTTAGTGTTTCATAGATCCTGGCAGAAGACATGAGATTCCTGGGTCAGGTATGTTGTAAAGTGGGTAAGATCTCACTGCTTTTTGTCCACAAAGCCTGAGCTCAGAGCAAGCTTTTCAGAGTTTGAAACCTTAGTCAATACTTTCAGAAGCTGAGCCTCAGTCAACAAGTAGGAATGAGATTCTTGGAACAGATTCCAGGGCATGCGTGTCAGAAGGCTCTTACTCTCTCTCAGCCTGCATGTCTTACCTGTAAAACAGGAAGAACATTGCTTCCCAGGCATATTGTGGGGGGCCTTGTAAATAGAAATTGAATCTGAAGACCCTGTGCTTATTCTCTGCATTCATAAGAAAAATCAAGTTCTTCCTAGTAATATATCCTTCTAGGTTTTTTGTTATCCCTTTTCTTCACTGAGAAGATGTTAATGTTTGCTCTGTAGCGCTAGTGCACAACACACACACTCAGACATGCTTGCAAGATCTGCCTGCCATGGATAAAGGGTAAAGGGTAGTGTTGATCACTCAGGGGAGAAGGAAAGAGAACAAAGTGAACGGGGTTAGAACCCCAGAGGGTAAGAGGAAATAGATAGGGGAGCCTCTCATTTTTGTTTCTGATTCAGAGTCTTGCTATGTCACCCAGCCTGGAGTGTAGTGACATGATTTTGGCTCACTGCAACCTCTGCCTCCCGGGTTCCAGTGATTCTTCTGCCTCAGCCTCCTGAGTATCTTGGACTACAGGTGCGTGCCACCACACCGGGCCGACTTTTTATATTTTTCATAGAGACAATGTTTCACCATATTGGCCAGGCTGGGCTCGAACTCCTGACCTTATGATCTGCCCACCTGGGTCTCCCAAAGTGCTCGCCCACCCAGGGTGGCCTCTCTTTAGATCACGTTCCTCCCACCCCATGCTGTACATCCGAAGGGAGCTAAGGCTTACACACAGTGTCCCCCACATGCAAACTCATGTGCACCCTCCGCCCTCCCCAGGATGCTCAAAGACAAGGATTTGCACTTGTTGTGCTTGAGGAAGGTTTTGTGAAGTCAGCCAGCTGGCCAAGCATGAGAGCTGGAATTGAGATGCAGGCCTCTAGCCAGTGCTGGGCACATTCTGCCATCCCCATCCCTAGACCTCATGCCCTTCCATCTTCATTTCTCTCCAAGACCCAAGGAGTACAGCTGGCTTTGGCAAGGCCCACCTCCTGTCACTGGATTGTGGGAGGAGATAAAATAACACTTGTGTGTTTCAAAGTTGAGCAGAACAAGATGTTTTTAAAATGCTGTGTTCCCTATGTGGGAGGCCTTCTAATGGGCAGCTGGGGACAAGGCGTCCAGCCCTCCCACCCCCGGGAGGTCCCAGAAAGGACTGTAGTGTAGGATGGGAGGCACACGCCCAGTGCTGGAGGCCTACCTGGTGGCCAGCTCTGACAGAGCTGGGACAGAGGGCCCCTACCCGGGGCACCTCTGGCCATGAGGTGTTTGACATTCCCAGCAGTCATTTGGCATAGCTCAGTTGACCTCTGCTGCCAGAGTCACCTCCTCGTTGGACAGAGGGTGAGAAGCCCTTGTGATCACTTTGTGGGGAGGGTGGGGTAGTAGGACTGAGTGGAGAACTCTACCTGCAGCATGGATGCGTCCCCAGGTGGGGCATGGTCTCCATCCAGAGAGACCAGCAGAAGCCAAGAGGCAGATTCTTAGCAGGAAGAGCTGGGCCTCTGGAGCTGGGCTGCTTAGATCACCCTCTGTTCTGTTCTGTTCTATTTATTTTATTTTTTTGAGACAGAGTTTTGCTCTGTCATCCAGGCTGGAGTGCCATGGTGCCATCTTGGCTCACTGCAGCCTTCACCTCCCAAGTTCAAGCAATTCTGATGCCTCAGCCTCCCAAATAGCTGGGACTACAGACATATGCCACTACATCCAGATAATTTTTGTATTTTTAGTAGAGACAGGGTTTCACCATGTTGGCCAGGCTGGTCTCGAACTTCTGACCTCAAGTGATCCACCCACCTTGACTTCTCAAAGTGCTGGGATTATAGGTGTGAGCCACTGCACCTAGCCCCATTTCTTCACTTTGAAAGGGAATGTATCACCCCTTGGTAAAGCTGTTGAGGTCAACCCAGCAACCTAAGAGAAGTGCCGACTCGGTGTCTGGTACAGAGTTGGTGCACTTTAGGGACAGGACCCAGTGCTTTCTTCCCCAGCCATCTTCAGGACTCGCCAGCTGTGGGTGCATGTGGGGAGGCATCAATGCTAGTGTCTCACTCTCTCCGTGGTCCACGCCTCCTGCCCCCCAGGGACAGGCTCTGGGAATGCCTCCTGTTCAGAACTGGCCCCCATTCTCCCACCTGCTTGCTGGGCCTCTGCTGTCCCAAGCTGCCCAGTGTCCCTTCTTACCTTCTGTCCTGAGTCTTATCAGGGCTGCCAGGCCTCGGCTGCTCTGAACGTGCCCTGGCCCCATGGTGCTGATCCTTGCCCATCTGCTCTGGCCACCCATGCTCTCGGTCCTCCCCGTGGACAGCTTGGCAGTCCCTTGTCAAAAGGGCAAGATCTCCCTCCTTTCCTGCGTGCTGGGCCCTTTCTGATGAGAGCTACACTTCCTCTCCTCTGGTGCCCAGAGGTGGGGGTGTGGCTGGGCCTGGGCCAGGGCAGTTTAATCCTGTGACCCCAGTGGACACCGTGACACCTCTCCAACCTTCGGTGTCTGGGGATGGTTCATGCCAAATGCCTGCTGTTGCCTGATGCTGCCACCCACCCAAGAGCCCTGGAGGGTGCTGCACAGCTCACCATTGTGGCAGCTGGGTTGAGAATGCGATCTTAATCCCTATTGTGGATGCCGCTAGAGGTTGCCCCTCAGCTCCTTCAGGCACCTCCTGGATGCCCCTGAAAATCGGTAGTGTTAAAATATTTCCATGAAGTCAGGGACTAGGGAGAAAGGTGCCTCTTTAAGCCACATGTCAGACTTTGTGAATCTCAGCTCGAGAGCGGCTGCACCTCCAGTCTTTCCTTTATGCTGAGGGTTTTAGAACCAGCGACAGACACCTGAGGGCAGGTGCAAGGGGCATCAGGAGCTCTGAATTGTCTGTTCTTTATCAGACTTCTGCACCGCCCAGAGCGGGGGAAACCCTTTCTTCTGGGACAGTGTGAGCCTGGGCACGTGTATAGTGCAACCCCTTGAGTTCCTGCGTACGCTTCTAACGTCATCTGGATGTCCTCGGACTCCAAATTTAGCACTCCTCCATCCACACACATAAGAAGATTTGTGGATTTACATTCTTTTTGTGAGGCTGTGAATATGAAAACGTACTCGCCTCCTTCTCATGTGACCCTAATCCTGTTAATCGTGTTTCTCTGGGGCACTTCTCCACACTGCCTTCTCTGAGCCACTATTTGTGCTTCAGGGGAATCTTTTTTCCCCCAAGTTCCTCAGCAAAGGAACAAGCAAGAGGCACTAAGCTGCAAAGAGGAAGATTTGCAGGCACATCGAAGGGTTCTCCCAGCCTGCTGGCCCTCCTGGGCTGTGGGGGAAATGGGCAGGAATCAATGCAGAAAGGAGGAAGGAAGGACACAGAGACTCCCAAGGAAACCGGCTTCCCAAGTCACCTTTGCGGAGGCTGGGCCACTCTCTAGACTCCCACAGGGTGTCCTGTGGCCCCTCTCCAGTCCAGTCGCCATGTGCCGGTTGTTGTCACTACTGTCTGCTGCTCAAAAGCCAGCCGGGCTCCCCCTTGCCTTCAGTCCCCAAGTCCATGTTCCTCAGGACTTCCCCAATGCAGCTCCACCCACAGCAGCCACTCTGAAGGGCGTCTTGTTTTCGATAACCATATCACTGTCTCCATCATCACCACCATGTGCGTTTTGGGGCACAGGCCTGGCTTACCCCTCCCTCCACCCTCCCCGTCAGTGCTAAGCCCCCTGTCTCCACCGCCACCTGCTTCACACAGCCTCCCTCTCCCTTTGGTTGTCATTTACCTGCCACTTGTGGATCACAAAGGTGCTTGGCGTCATGTCCTAGGAGGCACTGGTTCCTCATGAGCAGATTTATGCATGTGAACCACCCTGGGCTGGGTCCTGGAGCTGGCCTAGTCTGTGGCTTCACTATCTAGCCGTGAAGATATGCACGCCGCCAGCTGTGTTCTTGAAGCATTGCAGGCATGCTTGTGTACCTGGGTGAGAGGGATGGCAGTGGAGCCTGGAAGAGCAGCCTCAGGAAATCAGCCCTCACCCTCCCTAGCCACGTGACCCGGAGTAAGCTACTGGTGCCCAAGGGCCTCAGCATCCCCGTCTGTAAAATGGGATTATGGTGTCACCTCCTTCGTAGGACCTGGAGATGCCCATTTCCCACTCTAGCTAGCCTCTAAAAAGCTGCATAGCCTCTCAGAGCCCAATTTCCTTCTCTGCCAGAAGAGCAGATGCCTGCCTGAGGAGCCACTGGGCACTCTAGCCAGGCAACCACATAAAGGAAATGTGTCAGATATGGATAGGTCAGGCGTGCACAGAAAAGGTGGGGATGTGGCAGAGATGGGGAGGAGAAGCAGACCAGAGGCCACTAGATTTAGTTAGATACTTCATGGGCTTTTGTCTGCAGGATTATAAAACAATGAGGATTCTTTGATATTTAAGCCCAGCAGGAGTCAGAGAACAACAGGCAAGGACAGAGCAGATCAAACTCCAAGAGGGGCTCAGGAGTGGGTGGTGGTCAAACCACAGGCACTGATTGGAGCAGCCGTGGGCAGGCTAAAGGGACCTTGCCCTCTGGCTCTGCTGGTGTTGATTACATCTCTATGGGAGGGGCTGGTGCTGTCATCAGACAGCCTGGGGGGCAGGCTGCTTGGGGTGTCCCCCTGATGGGACGTGGAATGTGTGGAGCTTGGCTGAGTGGTGCAAGGGAGCTCCTGGTGCCACCCCTGCCAAAGACGCTATCAGTGTCTCGAGCCTGACAACGAAGTGTCCGGATGGGTGAGTGCCTCAGCGGAGTTGGAGCCGAGTTTGGGAGGATTCTAGCGAGAGCAGCTACCCAAGGTGGAGGGGAGGCCAGGGCTCAGGGCATCCAGCTGCCCCACATGCTTCCCGTAAATCCTCTGAGGCAGTCAGCGCCTGTTCCGGGAGCAGCTTGGGTGGTCTCTGGTGTTGTGGGGGGAGGCAGGGCTTTCTGTGGGGCACAGCTCCTGGGCACTCATTGCTTAGACCACACTGTCAGCTGTGCCCCTTGGACTTAGGTCTGTGGGGTCACCTGGACTGGTCATAGTGCTGGCGGGCTGCAAATGGTGCTTTCAGAGTGGGCAGTGGCGGGGAGCTGCGTTTAAGGTGATTCACAAGGTGGTGGTGTAGTGTGGGAAACCCCAAGTGTGGTGCAGTCCCTGGGGCTGGAAATGATGGGGGCGTTTCCAACACTACGGCTGAAGGGACAAGAGGACAGAGACTTACTGAGACCCCACGACACAGCTAATATGTGGATGGGGCCATCTGACAGGAGCAAGAGGCCTCCAGCCCTTCGCTGTCCCACAGGGAGGGCACCAAGGCAGTCACTGCCTGTCCTGAGTCCCCTCTCTCCCTCTGGCCTTCCTCCAGGGCTTCCTGTGGCTCCCAGGAGGTTGTTCAGACTTTATTGGGCCACTAGACCTTGCCTGGCCCATCCCTGCCGGGCAGCGCCACTACAGTCTTTTACTCCACTTGACTTTCTTTCTTCCAGTTCCTCGGACTGACCTACTGTCCACATAGGCCCTCGCACCTGTAGCTTCCCCTGCTGGGGAGGCTCACACCCCCTCACCCCTCACCTGTCCACCCTGTGGACCCTGGGCCACTACCACTTCCCCCAGACACCAGCCAGCCCCTCCCATGCAAGGAGGCTATCTTGCCAGGCAGGGCTCTCCGGAGGAGCAGAGCCTATTCCGTATTTGTGTATGCGTATTAAGAGATTCAACTTTCAGAGCTGGCTCAGGCAGCTGTGGGGGCTGCCAAGTTCCAAATCTGGTGGGCAATTCAGAAGGCTGGAAACTCAGGCAGGACTTTGTTTCTCTGTTTCAATCTTGAGGCAGAATTTCTTCTTTCCAGGGAACCTCAGTTTTTGCTTTTAAGGCCTTCAACTGATCGGATGAGGTCCACCTGGAGTTATCTCCTTTACTTAACGTTACCTGATGGTGGCACTTCACCACATGTGCATGTTACCCTCCCCAAAACACCTAGACGAGTGTCTGACCAAAGTGCTGGACACCATGGCCTAGCCAAGCTGGCTCATTACATTTATGTATTTACTTAGAGATAAGTCTCGCTACCCCAGGCTGGAGTATGATCATGGCTCATTGCAGCCTTGAATTCCTGGGCTCAGGTGATCCTCCTGCCTTAGCCTCCCCATAGCGGGGATTACAGGTATGAGCCACATGCCTGCTGACACATTAAATCTAACCAACACAGCTGGTCTTTTGTGTGATTCCTTAATAATCTCAGTCTCTGCCCCACCCTGTGATGTCAAGTTTGCAGTGAGCAAAGATGAAGATCATTCTGCTTTCTCTTTCTCTCTGTCTTTTTTTTTTTTTGAGAGGGTGTCTTGCTGTGTCACCCAGGCTAGAGTGCAGTGGTGTGATCTCTGCCTCCCTGGTTCAAGCAATCCTCCTGCCTCAGCCTCCTGAGTAGCTGGGACTACGTTATGGGTACCTGCCACCATGCCCAGCTAATTTGTTTGTGTTTTTAGAGACGGGGTTTCACCCTGTTGGCCATGCTGGTCTCGAACTCCTGACCTCAAGTGATCCACCCGCCTGGGCCTCCCAAAGTGCTGCAATTACAGGCATGAGCCACCGCACCCACCATTCTACGCTATTTAACCATTGCTCTGTCCAGCACTGGACAGTGACTGCTAGATGGCAGGTGCCTGGTGAGTAACTGTCAAATGAAAGAATGAAAGCAAGAGAGAGAATCCACAAACAGCATGGCAGTGTCCAGGTCAGAGATGCTGCCAAGACAGAGTGAGATGCTGTATGTAAAGTGTCTGCATGGAGTAGGTATGAAACTCACACATGCCATTTCATCTCCATTTTCAACTCCGCCTTCTAGTATCCACACACACACACACATGCAGTTATGAATTTCTCAGAGGAATGATGATCCCCGGTAGGTAGCATTTTCCTAATATTAATATTAATGTTGACTATTCTTTTGTGAGGCTGAGGAATTGTTCTAAGTACTTCATATATATCCATAAACCAATAGCATTGATTCCAATGTGTGTTTAATATTCAAGATCATTAGTAACATGATTGTATGGTACTGTGGCTCATGCCTGGAATCCCAGTACTTTGGGAGGCCAAGGTGGGGGGATCACGAGATCAGGAGTTCAAGACCAGCCTGGCCAACAGAGTGAAAGCCTGTCTCTACTAAAAATACAAAAATTAGCTGGACATGGTGGCACGTGCCTGTAGTCCCAGCTACTTGGGAGCCTGAGGCAGGAGAATCGCTTGAACCCGGGAGGCAGAGGTTGTGGTGAGCCAAGATTATACCACTGTACTAGCCTGGGCAACAGGCTAGGAAAAAAAAGTAAGTGACTTCCAGGACGAACCAACTATCCACTAATTTGTTCACTTAGCCGAGTCTCGGTGAGTGGGGCTGGCATCATTGTCCCATTTACAAGTGATGAGCTGACTGGCCCAGGCTCTTGAGGTGGCCCAAGTCACCCTGTGCTCCATGGCTGCTGTCCTGGGTGGGGAGTGGTGGGGGGGGGGTTCCCTTCTCTCCTGGGAGGCACAGGGAGCCTCAGCATAGCACAGCTGCTGGCTGGCTTCATTCAGCAGTTTTTAATTGATAGAAGTTTTTAACTGATAGAAGGAGAGAAACGTCCCCCCAGTCCTGCCACGGACAGGGAGCTCGTCATCACCTATTTACCTTGCAGGGGCCAGGGCCCCCTCTCAGGTCTCGCCTCACTGTGGCCCTGTTTCTCTTGGACGATGTTTTCTGGTGGGAAATGGGGCTGGCTGCCCTCACGGCTGATTCTTCCTGACCTGGGGGAGGAGAGCGGCGTCGAGTGGGTCCAGGTCTGGCTCGGCCATGAGAGCACAGCTGCCAGCTTCAGGGTGACTCAGAGCGGGTGGAGCTGAGCCGAAAGGAGCTGACCAGGGAGAAAACAAAACATGGAAAAGGAGGGCTCAGGCTTGCCCCTGCCAGGCCCTGAGCTGCGCCACTCGCAAACCCCGCCCAGCGCTCACGCTGTCACTGTGGAGTGGGGATGGGCCGGCCCCTCTTCCACAGCTCAGGCCCAGGACAGGGACAGACCTCAGCCTGGCACCATCCACTTCACACCAGTAGATGTGTGAAGTCGGGATTCTGCATTGGCCAGAATCCTGACTTCACAACTTCTGGCTGAGGGCCCTAGGTAGCCGGCTTGACCACTGCAGGCCTGTGTCCCAGCTCTGAAAGATGGAGGTAATACCCAGTACCCTTATCAGGAGCTTGTTGTGGGCCCAGCCAATGTGCCCCGGTGTTGTGCTTAGAACAGGGTGTAGCAAAGAGACAGGTGATGGTAGGTGTCCTCAGTGTTGACACATCACTGCTTTATGCAGTCTCCTCAAGGAAGGATGGTTTTTAGCCGCAGCTTTATAGTTGATAAACTTGAAGCTCAGCGGCTCATATAACTTCCCAGGGCTCACAGCAAATAGCCCCCCCGGGAGGATCCTTCCCTGGGAATGGGAGGAATACCCACTCCAGGGCAGCCACCCTGTAGAACAGAGCAAGTTCTGTCTAGGGAGCCAGGTGTGCCTTTGGTCCTGGGCATCTGGTTTTCTTTAGCCCTGGTGGACTTTTGCTGTGTATCCTGGGAAAAGTCACTTCCCGTTTCTGAGCTCAGCTTGCACGTCTGTGGGATGAAGTGAAGCAGCAGGATTTGATGCAGGGATCCGGGTGCTTACGAAGCTCCTGGAAGGGCAGTGAGAATGGCAGTATCCAGGAGGTGACACCCTGGAGGTAATGCCCTCCGGGGTTTTGGCTGCAATGCTTCAGGTTGAGGCCCACAGGCCATGGAGCTTCAGAAAGTCAGGGCAGAATCTGCAGCGGCCCTCAGCCTGGAGGTGGAAGGAGGCTGGTTCTGGAGTCCAGATTCTGGGGCAGCCACACAGCAGCTTCTACCACTGTGGGAGGGAGGAAGGCTCCTGCCTCGTTCACCTGCCATCCCAACTATCACTGGTCAGATCTCTACCATTTCTAGAGCACTGTGGACAGGGATGCTGGGAAATGTAGTTCCTAGGCTTCCAGCCCCGGCAGTACAGGGGAAGCACACAGCAGTGTGGGATCAAACCCTCACTCCTATAGACAGTGGCCAGAATAGGAACCCCTGCCAGCAGCAAGAAACGGGATGCCCTGAGCCCTGGAAGGCAGGCAGGGTGGATGCAACTCTGAATAGGATTTTTGAGACGTGTGGATTGCAGATACCACTCTAGCTTGTAGCCTCATTCATTGATCATAGGTGCAAGTTTGTTGAGTTCTCCTTAAATGTTTCTGAACAGTCTCCCATCATAATTCCCAGTAGGTGATAGCCAGGCAGCAGGGAGGGTTAAGGACATCAGCAAAGAAAAGGCCTCATCACCCAGTGTGAGCAGTATAAGGCCAGGAGTACCCTTAGCTGCAGGGCGATGGACAGGTGGCAGGAATCCTGGGGCAGGAGCAGGCTTCCTAAAGCCAGGCAAGGCTTCCAAGCAGGCGCCTCCAGCTCTGACTCACCTGGCCCAGGTTTCTTATTAGCCTGATTCTCCGAATAAGGGATTAAAGTGGATCTCAGACACACCACCTTGTAATAACACAGGGGCACTGGGGACGATGCTGGGAGGGTTCCATATGGAAGTTCCACACTCTCAGCTTCCAGGGACAGCATCTTCTTCCTGGGGACCCATTCCTAGCACAGAGTATGTAGGAAAGGGGGGAAGGAAGGAAGGAGGAAAGAAATGTTTAGACATTGATCCCAAAAATACAGAAGACCT